TCTCAACCTATGGGTCGCGACCCCATTTGGGGTCGATCGACCATTTTACGGGGGTCGCCAAACAAGGTGATCCGCCATTTCCCCCCCTTAGGGGGCGATGCCGCGCATGCGCACCGCGCATGGGGGCACCGCCGCGCATGCGTGCCACGCATGGGGGGCACCGCTGCGCATGCGTGTCACGCCACGCATGCGCGGCACGTTTGTGTGATGGGGGTCGCCGTCACACAAACGTTGAGAAACGCTGTTCTATTGGCTTTTGAAAGCCAATAGAATAGACTCTCTTGAATAGAGTCTAATTCTATTGGCTTTCAAAAGCCAATAGGAATTGTCCAGGCTGTCTCTGCCCTGCTGAGCCCGCCAAAAGTCCCATTCAGCAAACGGTGCTGCACCAGTTGAGTAGTCCTCGACTTACGACCGGTCGGGGGTCGTGGCATTAAAAAGGTTGAGAACCACTGCTGTAGAGGAAGGGAAGTGCCTAGTCTCTGTGGGCCAACTGGTGTGGGCATGCCCCACTTGCTCTTAGTTTTTCTCCAGGTAGAATTAGCTGTTGCACCTGGCAGATCTCTGTCACGTATTGATCAACTGTTGAGTAGGATTGGGAATATACTGTAACTTTAGCATTCTTCAAAACTACAGTTTTCACAAATGAAAGATATGTTTAATTTCTGTAAAATGGATGTAGAATAATTACACTCTGATATTGTGAATGAATGCAGTTGCTTGCTTGCTGACACTGAGATGGTCATGGCTATTGGAGAAAGACTGTGGCATTAATAAAACTATAGAATACCATTTGATCCAATAAATATGAAGAGTTATTTGCAGAGACAATTTTCAACAACCCCTATTATGGAAAATCCTCTGAAGGCTATAAAATCATGCTCTATGAGAATAAATACTTGGAAACAGCTTTTTGGATGATGAGAGGAATTGCCTATTATCACTCTACAAGTAATTCATACCCTCTACTTCTTGGAGATTATCTGATTTCTCTACCTGTCAGTTCACACTCCCTTTCACATTCAGACAAGTGTTTTTGGAAATAAACCAACAGACACCCTGCCAGACTTAATCTACTCACATTCTTTTAGTTTTGTAGAGTTCAAAAATGTGACAGAGAGGCCTTGCAGATTACTTTTTATCACACCAACAGAACTTCACATTTATATAGATTTTTTAAAATTGACTTAAGTAGTCCAACAAGGTACAATGTACAAAATCTCAGTAATTGTGCATTCCTTCTCTTAAGTCTTTCCTGATTGAATTAGCCAATTTTCCACCCTTTGAAGCTTACTCCATTTCAGACATCTGGATATTCATAACATTTTTCCACTCGTTGCTGCTACTTTTCTATTACATTGTTTGAAAGTGTTTGAGTGTTCAACTTTTTCAATGCCTTTACTAAGTTCTTGTCATACCATTTCTGTACTATACAGAGTTCATGTACCAATAAAAATGTCTTTGCAGAATTTCTTCTGGAGCAGGAATAGATAATTGCTTTGGCTACTCCTCATCCAAGAAACCTCATGATGCTATGTGAGTCATAAGGGAGGTACCAGTCTCAAATCAATGCATTCCCTGCATATGAAAAAGACCACAGATAAACTTTGGAAGTTGTACCCATCAACTGTGATGTCTGACACAAGTTTAGATGATTTAAAAAGAAGACTGGACAATTTATAGAGGACCAAGTAGCTGTTAGCTCTCAATTAGCATACCATAAACAACAGTTTAAATCCTGGTGACTTTTCTTGGCAAAAGTATGGAAGTGGCTTGCCACTGTCTTCTTTCAATACATTTTTTTCAGCTTCTAGCTTTGGGATTTCTTTCCTTCCAAATATTAATAATATCCATCCCTGCTTAGCATTTTGATATCAAAGCTAGATAGTGCTACCACTAATTGTAGACATTACTAGGGGTGATTTCAATTGAATCTATAACATAATTTGTTTTAATCTTAGCATGATTATTAAACCTTTCTATTGTGTTTAAACTACCCACAAATTAATAATCCTGAGTTAGCATATATTTAAATACAGAGCAATGTCTATATTTTGTGACTAATATGCATCTGTTAGAGGTTCTGCACTGCAGCCTTAAGCTAATGGATACCTGTGTGTAAATAAAGCTAGCTTAAGAAATCTATTTTTGGATTTTATCCCTTTCACTGCTTTGGCCAAAGGATGTCCTGAAGTTCTGTCTGGAGCATATTCACCATAGCTTTACTTCCTTTTCCCTTCCCGAGCTAGAAGGGAATGTGGCAGAAATCTCATCAGTTTAACCCAGTTTTTAAAAAAAGAAAATGGGAATAGGCCACAATTTCAGTGAAGCTATAAATAAACAAGCCAACAAAATTCCTAGCTTTTCACTATTCAGTTTATAAACTTGGAAAAAAAATCATCATCGAGGTCAGGGACATGGTATTACTGCCTCAGTAATGCATAATAATCAATAGCAGTGGAGGTGTTATCTTACAATAAACTGAAGTGAGGCAGATGAAAAGACAGCACTACTTGAACTGCCCATGTCAGAAAACACTATTTTTTATGTGTAGCAGAAAAAGATAGGCAAAGATTGGTTTTCTCTGCCTTCCATAAGGGAGAAAAAAGTGATAGAGGTCAATGCTGTGCATTGCTGCCCTAGAAAAATAGTAACTTGTACTTAATAATAGCAATAATAATAACAGAGTTGGAAGGGACCTTGAAGGTCTTCTAGTCCAGCCCCCATTTCCAGGCCCTGGAGTACATCCGGGTCTTTAATGTTTTTTAAAACGTATTTATGATGGATGAGTGGATGAAAGCTAAAAGACGTCCAGCTGCTGATGTCACAGAGGGAAAAGAAAAGTTTGAGGCTGCAAATTCCAGATTGACACATGGAATGTCAGAACTGTGAATAAAGGCAAACATGAAGTTGTCGAGAAAAATGTAAGGTCTAACACTGGCATTCTGGAATGAATGGACTACTTCATTTCAGAAGAGTGGCTACTAACATACAAGAAAATAATAGAAGAAACTGAGCAGCCACAATTATGTTAATAGGGCGCCATAATCAGTGCTCACTACACCCTAAACATGACGGAACTTGAAAAAGATGATCTAATGATTTTGCTTTCTTTAGCTTAGGTTGTGATTTTGCAAGAAGCAGCTAAGTTGCATGTCAACATTTTAATAATAATAATAATAATAATAATAATAATAATAAAGTTGGAAGGGACTTTGGAGGTCATCTGGTCCAACCCCCTGCTCAGGCAGGAAACCCTATACCATTTCAGACAAATGGCCGTCCTTTCTTTCTTTCTTTCTTTCTTTCTTTCTTTCTTTCTTTCTTTCTTTCTTTCTTTCTTTCTTTTCTCTTTCTTTCTTTCTTTCTTTCTTTCTTTCTTTCTTTCTTTCTTTCTTTCTTTCTCTTCCCTCTTATATAATTTGATTTTTGTATTATTAGTTCAGTAATATCCATATGTAAATCATTTTCTAGATTGTTGGAAGAAGGTCTTTAACGTAAACATTTTGTGTTTGTTTGTTTGGGCCGTATTCTATTTGTATTTTTCTTTCATTCATTTTGGGCACTACAGATACATGTTCCATTTACTTAGTGTAACACATCAGTTTCCTAAAATTAGTAGGACATGTATTTGTGATGCTGTGTCAACAACTGTAGGTTTTAAATAAAGGATTCCTATGTAATTACTGTTTGATGTAGTATTTGTAAACAATAAGGAATTTTAATGTAGCATTATATAATAAGTGATAAATAAATGTATAATAGGTGGTGGCCAAATAAGTGGAATGCTGGGAGGTTTCTAGCTTAAAAAGAAGTGGAAGTGGGTTGGAAGATAATAATTTTACAGGAGTAGCAGATATTAACATGCTAGCGTAGAATCTTCCTCTATGATTGTTTAAAAAAGAATAACAAATTGCAAACTGTTATTCTTATTAAAAAAGATGTTGCTTGTTTGCAGCATAATCTTTGACAAAGTTCATACATATATATACATTTTGTGTGTGTGTGTCTTGGATTATGTATATCTATTAAATTTCGATTCCTTTTTTAAAAAAGGGGCGGTTATGTGGAAGGAATATGCTTTATGGTGGATCAATAATTCCATTACAAGCATGTAGGTTTTAAGATAACTAGTGAGTGTCTAAGAATCTCCTTCAGTTTCTGTTGTGAAGTTGATTAAGTAACTTTGGGTCTAAACTACTTAACAGGCTGTTGTGGTATTAACATTGGGAGGACAGAAAACTTTTTAGTAGACTTTTAATCTACTATGAGCTAGGATTTTAAGACTATTGTAAAATATATATTAAATATTTTTTATTTATTAAACTATTTTATCCAATGTCAAATTTAGATTATGTTTATAACTTGCTTTTCGGCCTTTGGGCCATAAATTAAAATGATTGATTGAACTAAATTAAGAATATGGACTGTCCAAACACTGGCTAAAACATCAGAAACATCTTGCTGTTAGTATATTGTTACTTTGAAGAACATTATAATCAAATATAATACTTGCATTTTTATAAAAGAATTGACCACAAGGCTGCTGTTAGAAATCAATGAAACAGTCCACTGTTACTCCTCAACTCAATAGGTTCAAATTTGGTTGTGAGGAGTTCGTCTAGATGATTTCCATAGGCTGCACTAAGTCTCAGCAAGTCTGGTCCTCACCTTTACTCGAGTCTTTAAAAACAGAGGATCGATTTGAAAACGTGGAAGCTTTAAGAAGGAGAAGGACTTTTGGAAAGAGGTCGCTGAAGGAGCCGTTATAGTTGTCCTAAGACCTAAGTAATATAACAGGCCCATAACAAACTTCCTCGTTTCTCCGTCAAAAGTGAAGACAACCGGGAAAGAAGGTAATGAGTTTTCTATCAGTTCAAGAGACTGACTCTCTCTCTCTCTCTTCTAGTATTTCTGGGAGGAACTCCAAAAGGGGGAGGAGGGGAGAAAGGGAGGGAGGGAGGCAGACAGCCTTGGGAATGAAGATTAGGAAGGTAAAGAGAAGCGCGTTATTTTCTTCGCTCGCTTGGTGAGCGTTTAAACCCTTTTGCCTGGTAAATGTATTAGCCCTGGTGCTTCGGTTCTGGCGAGACAAAGGCGCCCCGCTGCAGGCCAGAGAGCGGAACTGTTGTGGAGGGGGCCGTGAAAGTGTGGAAGAGAGAGAAAGAGCGGAGCAGCAGCGAATTCTGTGAAAAGCGCCCCTCTGGGGCTGCTCCCGAAAAGAGGCAGAGCAGTGGCTAGATGGAGAGAGGAAAGCTCCGGGCGGCAGCGTCTGTTTGCCTGCATCCGCTTCCCTGAACACTAACAAGCCTTTCGGGGGGGAATCTGTTTTGCTCCCAGCAGAGCTACATGGCAACCCCCGCGGTCTGAAAGAGAGGATCTGAAAGAATCTTGGAGAAGAGTAACTTGCTGCAAGAGTAAGTTTCATTGCTGTTCTGAGACCCTTGACATCCTGTACGTGTCTAGGGAGACAGACAGGCAGGCTGTATTAATAGCGTGTAGATTGTACAAATCTTTTTGACTTTTCTGTATCAAGCACTCCCAGGCATTGATAACTGCCATTATTGTTAAAGAATGTCCCCCACCCATTCCCAGGGACAAGAGAGCTCGTCTACTTTCAATCTATAGGTTCATCTTCAGAATCTCAACAGTCTCTTCTAATAGAATGTGGTTAGTTTTGTTCTTCACTGAAGGGGTTGTTACTGACACATATACTCTCACTTTTAAAGAGAAGACTGACACACACACAAAAAACAGTAGAAATGTGCAAAGCGATTTTTAAAAATGTGTTTGGGGAGGATCAGCAAGATTTCTGTTGCTGACGACTCACTCTAAGAATGTTGTATACCTTTGGTCTTTTCTGAGAGCCCACTAATAATTGTTTTTCCTCCCATTTTCTTTTTTAGGGTCACAATGAACTGGACACCAGTTGTGAGCTTAACTGTGTTATGGGCAACATGGCTAGTGTGTGGCTCACATAAGCCAATGAGGCAAGCTGAGAGAGGGAGTCTTGGAATCAGAAAAGAACCTGTGGCTTACAGGAGCAATTTCAGGAGATCTATTTCAACCCAGCCCAGGTTGGGCAAGATGCCTCAGAGACGTGTAAATCTTTCTGGGAGGTATTGGCAACGTCCCCTTGTTAAAAGGGATTCTTTGGAACCTAAAAACCTAGCAACGTCTTCCTCAAAAAATAAATCTCAGGTTCAGATAAGGACTGGCAAGATAAAAATACGGCAGATGAAAAGACCTAAGTTGGAAATGATTAAAGATGAAGGAACATCCACTGCAGTCCAATCACGTGTTGTGCGTTTTCCATTAGGGTCCAGTTCTCCCAATATCTTGGCTAGCTTTGCAGGCAAGAATAGAGCCTGGATCATCTCTGTTCCTCATGCCTCAGATGGTTATTACCGGCTCATGATGAGTCTGCTGAAGGACAATGTCTATTGTGAGCTAGCGGAAAGGCATGTCCAGCAGATTATACTGTTCCATGGGGAAGGTGAAGAAGGTAGTAAAGTTAGGAAGATATCCCCTGAAGGGAAAATCCTAGAGCAGCCTCTAGATCCAAGCCTCATTCCCAAACTCATGAGCTTTTTGAAACTAGAGAACGGGAAATTTGGAATGGTGTTGTTAAAGAAGACATTACAAGTTGAGGAACGGTACCCTTACCCAGTAAGGTTGGAAGCTATATATGAAGTTATTGACCAGAGTCCCATCAGGAAGATTGAGAAGGCAAGGCAAAAAGGCTTCATTCAGAAATGTAAAGCAGCTGGAGGAGAGGGCCAGATCATCAAGGAAGGGATCAATGGGAGCAGCAGCACAAGAGCAGCTCCCAGTGGTGGTCGTGTGCAGTCATTCCCGAGAAAGGAAGAAACAAGAAAAGGTAAAATGCAACCAACCAGAGTGAAAACTGTGAAGAAAGTGGCAGTGGCCACAGTGCCATCTCTTTCGCCCACTATATCTAGAGCCACTACCTTCCCTCCAACAACCACAACTCTCCAGCCAATTGCCAGAATAACGACAATACCAAGCAGACCCACAACCACCATCACAACTACTCCAACTACACAGAGAATATGGACCACAAAGTCACTCACCCAACTTCCTACAGAGCCCAAGACAAGTATCGCTCCTGAGACAGAGACATCTCTTTCCATGTGGAAAGAAAACCGCAGAGGAAAGCATCCAGGTCAAAGACAACCAACAGCTACTAAAAGACCCAGGAAAGCCAGTCATTATGACACTTACACAGAAATCCCAAGGGCCACCTCAGATCAATACACCAAGACAAATGCTGGCAGATTCAAAGACAATCGGACAGACAAGAAGGAGAGTCGGGACCCTGGCATCACAGCTGGCCAGCAGAAGCCTCCTAAAAGCAAGCAGTCCAAACAGAAAGCCCAGGATAAGATACTGAGCAATGAATATGAAGATAAATATGACTTAGGGCAGCCTACCATTCCTCATTTGGAGGAAAGCATCCCCATAGGAAATATTCCACCCAAGAAAGCCAAAGAGTCAAAGAAACACATCCCTTCAAAAAAATCTGAAAAGAAGAAAGAAAGATATGACAAGAAAATTGAGAGGCAGGCCAAGAAGGACAGAGCTGAAAGGAAAAGCAAGCAAGAGAAAGAGCGCAACAAGAAAAACAAGAAAGGGAGCAAAATAGAGAATGAAGGAAGCCTGAAACCTCATGCTAAGTCTTTCACACAGAAATCTGTGACAAACCTTCTGAACTTCTTTGAAGGCAAAAGACGACTTTTGGTAAGTAGATTATCCCTGAACATACATCACTCACATCTATTCATAATTAAGTCTCTTAATGAGACCCTATAAATATAGACTTTTCTTTCTAAACAAGCATCTATTGCATTTGTTTGGCTTCTGAAAGTTTTCGATGGCAGCCAATATTTTGACATCTTCATTTTGATGATACCATAATATTAGCTTTTCTCTTAATCAAGCATGATGAACCTATAGTTTTCTAGATACTCTGTTATTCAAATTCTATCATCCCTCATCTATGATCATGTTGGCTGAGATTGTTGAAATTGAAGTCCAGCAATATCTGAAGGACTGCATTCCTCTACTTGAATTGCCTTCTGAGAAAGCCAATGTTATTCTTGTAAACCAAAGGGGCTGCCAGAATGGAAGAGGCCTTGGGAGTGTTATACATGCACACTGTCCTTTCAGCTTCCACCTGCATTCTTCCCACTCATATTTGCATATATTCCCTACCTTCTGTCCATTTTCATTCCTTTTACAAGTATTGGGAGCCTTCCTTTCACCAGCATATAACTTTTTAAAGAATTTTTGGTCACCTCAGAACAAAGACACTCATTTCTGCAGAGAGTTGCTAAGGTAAAGAGCATGAGAAAGACAAGATAGGGCCTCTGCTCAACTGTGGGCCCTTACCTGGTGCAAAGTCTACCTCTGCACTCATCCAGCTGCATCCAGCTGCACCACTAAGGCAAAAAATTGTGTGTTGATAGAACAGCTCTTAGGATTTTTTAAAATTTCTGTGGGAAAAGCCTGTTTTTATAGATCAGTCTTTACTGTCTATGTTGTTGAAGTATATAGTAATGAATTAATCAAGTCTTTTAGTTAGTTGAACTGGGGCTACTTACCAATTTCTCTTCACTGTATTCTAGTGCCAAATTTACTGCTGAAGAGGAAGGACCTTTCAAAATAGACCTGAGATATGGGCAGAAAGAGAAAAATGTCACAAAATCAAGTTACACAAGTGAAGGTCCACACATGAAATATTGCACATATCCCCGAATGTTTAGGGCTTTTTTAATGTGCTGAATTCACAGAAACAGCTGTTACTATCTTCTGCTTTTTTTTCCAAGAGATGTCTTACATTGCCATATCTAAGAAAGCTTTCCATATTCAGTTTTACACCTGGGCTGCATACCTGCTGGAATAATTGCCTAGGAACCTACACTTACCAATTATGGGTGAGACTAGACTCAGAATGGTTGGGGACCCTTCTGTCTTCATCTGACATTTTATAAAAGAATTATGCCATTCCCCCTTTCACATTTTTTTTCTTCCTGACAACCTCTAGGGCAATATTTTCAGGTGTAAAATTTTCAGGTCACGTGCACTGTTAGCTTACTTTGCCACTTTGCTGTCAGTCAGCAAAATAAGGGCCATTGCAAATTTGGGGCATCCTGGGTTTATAGTACCTTGCTAACCAAAGGCTTTGTGCTCCCTGACTGGGAGGCGATATTTTCAAACTGCCTAGTCAGTGGTGTGGCTGATATATCTTGTAGTCAGGGAGCTGAGGGTAAAAAGTCTAGCCACATCTTCCAAGAGGTTGCTTGAGTTCCTTTGCCAGTTGTTGAACACCAGTTATTTCCATAACAAAAAGAATCAGTGTAAGAACATTTAAACACTTCTGGACTGAGGATAAGATGTTAGCATATGAAACATTAGCATCCTCTGATTAAGAGGGAACACAGATTGCCAAGGGGTGCCAATGTAAACTGCAAGTACCATAAGAACAGGATTTAGAGTGATGAATTACAGGCTGCATTTAAAAGTGGGTAGGTCCCAGAATTAATAAAGTACAATTAATATGATTACTTCTTATATTTTTAATAATCCCCTTCTGTCATAGAGATTTTTAAAATGTAAACATTAGTTTAAGGACAGTGGACTATTCACATTCTATAACTTCAGAAACAGATTATTTCATGTTCCTAAATGTCAGACAAATTAACCATTTGTTCCTTTTTCAATCACATGAGTCAGCTTGGCTATGAGATATGAAAATAGAAAAAGGACTTCTCCCTGTGCACGGGTGACTTAGGAAAAGAATCATAAGGCTCACTGGGACCCAAAATATTGCCTACCATGGCACCTTATGATGGAGGAGGACAATATGTGTCTCATCATTCTTCAAAATTAATATACTTGATAAGAGTGATTGATACAATTTTGAAAGATAAAGTTTTCTATCCTTACCTTAGTTTGTCATTAGCATGGCATGTTTCTAAAAATGTAATTATAAGTCTTGTGGAGCAAATCATTAAATCTTTTCTCAGTAATTTGCACAAATTGTCAGAAAACAAGAAACAGAGATGGTAGAATCTGTGTCCCAGTAATCTGAGGAAATGAATTAACAACAGTTGAAAAAAGGATGTATGTTTATTGTTTTACAGTTCATGCTAAATATATTTATATATATTTCAACTTCCAACATTTCTAGTTGATATTTTATTCATCATATTGATGACAACATGGCAACCTCCTCAGATGTTTTCCTTAACAAATAACATTTAATTTCATGGCATATTGTGAGAATTCATACTTGGTTATTATTTATGCAAGTAATGGTTATTATAAATGCAAAACAAAACATGATTATGCATGATAAGTGAAACACAAATTTTATTTTGTTATGTTTAATAATATTAGAAATCTATGGAATAGATTTTCTTTAGGCAATTAATTTGTTCCCATATTTTATTTTATTAGCACTAAACTTGCTGGATTCCTTATATCTCTTTATTGTTAATTTTAAAAAATAAATAAAATTGGAATGTAGATGCAGTATTATCCTACATGAACCTGGAGGAATCCTTACAAAATAAAAATGGTGATAGTTGCAGCCAACTCCCTTATTCTGAAGCCTGACTAGTTTCCTTGCCACCCAAAGAAAAACATTAGTTGGGAGATACATGATGAAAACCTAAGGGAGTAATTTTATTAAAGTATATATGTGTACATGCGTTTTGTCTGCTTGTGTGTGTCTGTTAACTATTTAATGTGTTAAGGATATCCAGATGAATTTCTCTAGGGTGGAGCTAAGTTATTTGAGTGAAGAGTATTCTGATTTCTAGGGATGGCTTGTGAAGACACTCATGTTGGCAGAGAAGTGGGGAGGTGCTTTTTGCAAAATGGGTCCAAGGCATGACCAACCAGTCCACGTTTGCTCTTCTATGAGGAGAACAGAAAAGAGGATCTTGGAATTACTCATTTCCCAGACTACAAGCTTATGGACATACTAATGATGTTTGTAGATAACATGTGGGGTCATTTGCAAATTCTGGCCTTGCTTTCCTCTCTCCTGTTTGTGTCTGTGGTTTTGCTTCAGGCTCGTTTATTCTACCCTGGACAAGTTACATTTGTTTGCTACTCTGTGGTGTGGAATTACAGTATGAAATCTTGAATGCCTTTTTTTAATACATAAACATAAAAGAAATTCATAGCCAGGCAGCATTTTTACTAAATTTTAAATTTAACCCATTGACATTTCTTTTTTTAGGAATTTAAAAAGTATTTATTAGAGACTTTCATCAAAAAGTAAACAACCTAGCATATCAGCAGATGTACAGAAATGATCCTAATGGTATATAAATTCACAGTATCGTACTAATCCACATGAGAGAAACAATAGCATGTTTACCAGTTGCACCTATTGAATTGGACACTTACTTGTATGCTGTAAATTAACCATGATCTGGGCCAACTTTGCCTAACTTTGCAAACAGCAGCATAGAGTTTTACGCTGTTGAGAATAACTGAAAACTTCAGATCTATCAAACTTATTAAGTATACAACAAAACTCATCATATTGATTAGTCTATTGACTAAAAAGGGGATAATGAGAGCAGAGCAGATATCATATGAATGATGCAAAAGAATGTAACCTGTAATTTCCCCTCATAAAGATCAGGATAATCAACCTTTTTTGGTCTATGGACACTTCCAGAATTTATTTATTTATTTATTTATTATTGAAAAGTTTTATACAAATTTTCCATTTTATTACAATACAACATCCCTCCCTCCCTCCCCCCCCACCCTAACCCTAACCCTCCCTCACTTCCCAGAGCTGATTACAGGGTTACAAATAAGCAAACAAATTCTAACTAAGCTTATCCAACTATACCAATAACCAAATCCATAAAATACTTTAACTCAAATACAAGAAAATTTCAAAAAAAAATTAAAAACAAAAATAACAATATAAACAATTCCCCCTTTAAACTATAAGTTATTCAAAAACTAAATGATACTTTCTAATCCCATATTTATTCTGTACATAATTTATCCATCTTCTCCACACCGAGATGTATCTTTCTTGTGAATGATCCTTCAAATAAGCAGAAATTTTGGCCATTTCTGCTAAATTAGAAACTTTAAGAGACCATTCTTCTATAGTGGGCAAAGAATCTTTCCTTCAATAGTGGGCAAAGAATCTTTCCTTTCCTTCAATATTGCCCAACCAGTAACCTTGCAGCTGTAATAAGATTCAACATTAAAATAGTTTCTTTAGCATCACAATCTACAATAATACCTAACAAAAATATTTGGGGAGAAAACTTTATCTTTCTCTTGAAAACCTTTTGAATGTTCCACCAAATCTTAATCCAAAAAGATTTTATGTTTCTACACGTCCACCAAATATGATAATAGGTTGCATCCAAGCAACCACATATCCAACACTTAGGCTGTAAATTGGGATACATGCGAGACAATTTTTGGGGATCCAAATGCCACCTATAAAACATTTTATAAAAATTTTCTCTTAAATTTTGAGCTTGAGTAAACTTCACATTCCCAACCCAAATTGCCTCCCATGTATCTAATAAAATTGGCTCTTGAAAATTTTGGGCCCATTTTACCATACAATCTTTGACTAATTCCGTCTCTGAATCCAATTCCACTAATACATTATAAACTCTCTTTATATGAGCTCGACTTTGATCTTTAATCTGTTTTATCAAATTCTCATCCTCTAAAGTAATACCAACCTTTTGGTCTAAACTCCACCTATCTAACAATTGCCTATACTGAAACCAAGAATAAACAATATTTTCTTGCCTTAATTCATCTAGCGATTTTAATTGCCAATCCTTCCCTTCCAATTTAAGCAATTCATTGACAATTTTAAATCAAAATATGCTTTCTATGTTTCAGAAATAATTATATTTGATTTTAAAATTTTGATTTTAAAGAAGAGCTCCATGATCAGATCTTTACTACCTTCATTTTTTTAAAAAAATTTACCCTGTGGAAATGAACTGGAATTAGGAAGGCACTCACTATAAGGGAAATAATTGATTATTCTTTGACTAGGTACAGACACTACATTTCCATGATTTATGTAATTTAGAGTTGCTATCTCAGGGTTGCCCAGATTCTGTGTAGCAACTCTAACTTAACTATGGTTTATCAAATAATCCATATTTTTCTGCAGTTGTACAACAAAAGTCCTTGGTTTATAATCCCCCATGAGTGGCCTCACACAATATATTCATCCTGAATTAGGTCTCCCAGATATGGGCTGAAAAATCTAGAATGGCAGTAAAAAATGAACACATTCTTCATTGCATGCTGCCATCAGTGGCTATCTGGATTTTTGCAATTTAGATCTTGTAGTGTAGCTTGTAAAACCAGTCACATAACTTTTGTTTAGCAAGGTATGGATAAATCAAGTCATTCCACCCTAACTGGATTATAGTATAAAAAATACATTTTATTTATTGTATACTTTTTAAAGAAGGGTGGATCCCACCTTCTATCAGTGTAAAAAAAATACAAACTACAGATATAGTTTGTATTTCAGTGATAGAAATTCTAGGCTTTTATCAAGTCATATTTTCTTGCTTCATCATCGGAATAATCAGGCAGGCAAACAATGCTAGCCTTCAAACAATCTTGTTTTTACAACTGGACTCTAGCTGAAAAAAATAATCAGGAATAATTTCTAGAGGACAAATTTACTTAGTTAACTATTAAAATGCAAATTATACAAATTCAAAAGGGCTCTTTTTCTGTATATTTCAAACTGTCCTTTTTTTTTAACCATGTACATTTGCAATTTGCAATATGTAATAAATTCAAATGCATAAAAACTCTATTTACAAGGACACTATCATCCACAATCAGGATGTTTACTTAATTAATGCCATAGTATTTTTCTCTCTATATGGTAATGTTGTGGAAATACTAGACATGTAGCTAATAATCTATCAAAACATTTTATTGTGTTATTAATTAGAATGTTGGTTTTGGAAAGATAAGTTAATAAATTTTCATTCATTTTTTGGTAGCTAGCCTTAGACTCTCTGTGCCTAGCTGTGTTTTCTCCCCAAAACTGATTCTGGCAAAGCATTAAATCCAATATACTGTACATATCATGAGAGCTGACTTGTCACAAATTATATCTAAAATTCCAACTAGTAAATATTGTTTCTCATCACCATTAAAATACAGGGAAAGGAAAAGTCTTGGTGGGTGGGGTATGAGTTATTGGGCCTTATGTTGTTTGGTTTCCTGAAACTAATGCTCTGTCATTTTATTAGCTGATCACAACACCCAAAGCTGACAACAACATGTATGCGCAACAGAGGGATGAATATTTGGAGAGCTTTTGCAAAATGGCGACTAGAAAAATTTCAGTTATCACCATCTTTGGCACAATGAACAACAGTCATATGAAGATCGATCATTTCCAGCTAGGTTGGTTTAATTTTATTACATAGAATGCTCAAGGAAATTAGCAACCATGAAATATATAAATATATGTATGCATTTAAAAGGATGGGGTGGGTGTGGAAAGTCACCTAGAATCACAAATGTGAGATGGACAGCTGTGTAGATAGATAGATAGATAGATAGATAGATAGATAGATAGACAGACAGACAGACAGACAGACAGACAGACAGACAGACTGACTGACTGACTGACTGACTGACTGACTTGGTTCCGATAGATGAGATCAGTAAAAGCAGAAAATCCAAGGCAAGAGGTTTCCTTAAAGAACATATTTATTGGCTACAAAGTATCAGCACAGTCAGAAGTGAAAACTAGTCTGGAATTCCCTCCCAAGCGTTACCATGTTACAAAATTGAACTTCCCACCCCAGCACTATGTAATTATCCAGGTTCCCCAATAGAATATTTTGGCTGACATTCTAATGGAAGGCTCAGCTCACTAAAAGTCAGGCAGCAATGACCTTGGGTTCCCACGGGACATATTTATTGTTTAGTCTAACCTTAAAACCATTCATTTCCCCTCCCAGTACTGTGGCACCGAAAATGAAGCAAAAATTTCTTCAGCCAAGATTGTTGCAGTGTTGACATAGACAGACAGAACAACCTCTGGTTGGGAAGAATATGAAAACCCTTTTTCAGATAACATATATTTGTATTCCCTTTTTGTATGTATACAGATGGCTCTAGTATTTCCTTTGGATATTTCTTTTCCTAAGCATCATATTCAGATTTATTGAGTATCTTTCTAATAGCTTACAAACTAGTAAAACAACTGAAAGTTTAAAAGTGTGATTAGATCACAAAATAGATTCAAAATCCTTTAACTCATAAAATATGTGGTTAGCCACATATTTTATATCTAATTCTTTTATGTAATTGAAGTTTACTTAATTTTTACCTGTATGAAAGGCCAGACAACAGTGAAAGGGAGTAGGGGGCAATCATCCCATTTGTCCTGTCTTCAAAATTACACTAACTTCTACTGTCCATTCACCAGCATGAATATTTAGGGCAAGAAAGTCTTTCTTCAAAGACTTCTACTAGGGGAGATTTCTTGAAACTCCCTGGGTTGTGAGACTGTTCATACACAAGAGGGAGTGTATGCTTATACTGCCAAGACTAGTATATTCTTATTTTATAGAGTCAAGTAAAACAGTTTCTGACAATTAATTGAAAAGGCAGGAGAAAGTCTGTCTCTAAACAAGCTTTGTGATTCTAAGGAAGGTTTGCCTTACTTTTTGTTAGTTTTCTTTTTTACTAAAGTAAAAGTAAATGAAATGTATTCTTCTGTACATCTTTCCTCTTGTCAATTAAAGTATTATGATCTTTGATATTACATACCTTAAGGCTACAAACATTTACATTTTAGAAAGTTCATGCTGTATAGACATAATAAAAATAAAAATATTCCATTGCTTTCTTTGTAATGTTGCAAAATTGTTAGTTGCTTCTGATGGGTTGATCAATTTAAAAATATCAGGATGGATCCAAAGAAGCCATTTTGTGAATTTGAAGAGCGTACACTGATATTCCATCAGAGGAAAGGAAAAGATTTTTTTCTGTTTCCCCTCCTGTGGCTGTCCCTCCCAGTTATGTCCTCATGTGCTTTTGTGCTTCACTAATTTTGTTATCTTTTAGTCCAATAAAAGAGAATAAAGAACTGGACATATCTGGATGCTGGGCTTGTGTTGTAAAGATCAGCTGGCAACCCAGACAAGTTCAGACATTCATGGTCCATTGGCTAAATATAGAACTTTACAGGAGAGTGATGTACCTTCCATCAAATAGGACACAGAGAAATATCCCAATCTCTCTCTGGGCTACAGATAGCTTTAAAAACAAAGGCAGAACTCCTAGGAGAACCAAAGAATTTGGGCAGGAAAAATGAATACTCTAGAAGTGGCCTTCCTCAGCTTTTGATTAAAGTGACTTTTCCAGGAAAAAAAAAGTAATAAAAAGAACAACTGTTGCAAGGGTCTTTTATTTTTTATTAAACTTGATAGCTGTCTGGCTGGAAGGTAAGCTTGGATTCTTTTATTTCTTTTTTAATGTGTAACACTAAGTGTCCTTGGTTATTGAATGCTATTGAGCCATACTTCAGACTAGGTGTGAGGTCATTAACTTTATAGACAGCTCTTTTTAATCTATATTATGAAATTAAAACATCTCTTGTTTCTCAAAGGAAATTAAACTAATTGTAGCAAGTTAGCATGATCCTAAAGTTTGCCTTGAATGTTGACTGTATTTGTGTTCATTTCAGTAAAAAGGGGATTTTATATTGGATCTATTTTATACCTCCATCTTTTTATAAGGTTTGCTTAACTTTTGTGAAATTGGTCCATATCCCAAGGAAGTGTTGAAACCTCTAAGCTATGGTTAAGAGGATTCATTATAGACATTTTCCTTTGTACTTTTTCCATTGCCAATATGACAGATTGTTGTATACATACAAGATTGTAAGAGTTCTTATTGTCTCATCTTGGGGTTGTGAGAATATACTAGTTAAGGTATCCTATAGAAGATAGGCAATGGCATCAGTAACTGCCAAGGTATTATTTTAAAAGGCAACAGAGTGAAGCCAGCTTTTTTTCTGGCTAATTCAATAAACAATGAAGGGAAAAGCTGAGTCCATACATTACATAAACCACGTAACTTGGTTAGAAGTGGATTAACATTTTGTATGAATCATGACTGAGTGCAGTGTGTGATCATGGCCAATTGTGGCATGTAAATAAATTTTCATACACAAAAACAAAAGATTTGTATATGAGAACCTTTAATTTGTTTAGGTTAAAAAAACAACACAGCTTACAGCTACTGGTATTATGGCATGGAAATACAGTCATTTTGTAGCATGTCTGTGTTTTTCTTTGAGAGTTAAAGACAGGAGAATAATATACTTGAATTATTTTCTGTTTAGGAAACTGTTTAGGAATGAGTGTAATTGAATAATGAGAACATTTTATTAGAATAATCTCTTGAAATCCCTTTCATGAGAACAAATTTTACTGCTATATAAAAATGAACAAAACCACATACCATGACATGATTAATTTAATATTTATAAAGGCATGAATACGGAAAGTGGTTTAAACAGATCTTGGAATTTAGCACATTTCCCCATGGATGTGGTGATCTCTCCGGTCTTCTCAAACTCCATTTCTGGGTAGATTTTTGGACTGCTCATTCTTGTTTTTAAGTTGTGCTGCATATACAAAAATACTTAAAATGATTCACTGATATCTAAAGAGAATGAAAATTATGTCATTGGATGATACATCTCAGTTAATTTTAATGTTACATCATCAGAAAGCCAAACCTACTTTCTTTTGAGGGCATAACATGGCTAAAAGACATGCAGACCTTCTCCTTTATTGTGGAGAGGAAGATCTGCTTAATTTGCACAACAGAGATAGTTCTAATATATAGTTCTAATATATATATAGTAAAGAGACAGAGACAGTCTGGATTCCACCATATTTAATTTTTTCTTTCCCTAGATAAGCTCATAGATTCTTTACCCTATGACTCATAAGTTGCTTTGTCTATATCAGACCATCTGCCTATTAGTAGCATCTAAGGAATAATCTTCTCATGTTTGATAAGAAGGTAGCAAGCGTTCACCATCATTGCTTGCATTAGTGGAAATTAATGTGATATCTGATAGGTATCTTTGAAGAAGAGAACAGAGACATCTGCTCATCCCAATTTCGTTCCTTTTTAAGATAATGAGAATCCAATGAAGGTGATAGAGGATGAAGACCTGGTGGATCAGAATCTCATCAATGAGCTGAGAAGAGAATATGGAATGACCTATGATGACTTCTTTATGGTGTTAACAGATTCTGATATGAAGGCCAAGGTAGGAAGAAGTATATTAGCAAAATTAATGAACAGACCAGATGTCCTGTGGATGGTTTTTATTATAATTACTATGATATTTGACTAGTGTGACCAACTAAGAATAGAGATGAGAAGGGCAGAAAGGAGAGTTGATCATATGAGAGATATGATTCAGGGTACGAATATAAAAGTGGGTTGTTTTTCAAGAGGAAAGTGGAGTTGCAGAAATAATTTAAAATTAAATAAAATTAAATTATTAAAATAATTTAAGCTGTGATTTTCTTCGTCTGTAGCCTCCATTTTTGAGTCACTTTCCTCTGGCTTTTGTTCTAGTGTCTGATTTATTTGTTCATTCTTTGACATCATTTTCTGAGAGTTTTTTAATTGTGAGCTTAAGTCAAGGCTGTGCTCATTTATATCATCAAAATTATTTTTAATCTTATCATGATTTGAAACAATTGTCATTTGGATTAATTGCAACGTAGCATGCATTTCCTCCTGGAAGATATTTGTCTTGTCTTGAAGTATTACTCCTGCAGATGTCTGATATACCAGACTGGGGATTTTAGAAAAGAATATTGAGTGTGGTTTCCTACCACTTTTAATTGTGTACACAACCTCCATTTTCATCAAACCAACCAGTCTTAAGTTCCAAACACCATAGACTTATATAGTTCTTATGTTTATGAACAGTCCAAAATGTTCAACCATTTTAAAACAATCCAGTAATTTCCCCCCTGGAACAATAGCCAGAAAGTCAAAGTTTTTCTTTCCCTGCAAATGATTCCTGAAGTTAAATACCAAGCTTAGCGTTTATAATTCAAGAAGGTCAGCAGTTTTTATAACAATTGTATTTCTCATTTTACAATAGATAGCCCAGTGTATTTTCTTTCCTCTATTCCTAGCTGTTCTCTATTTAGCTAGAGTCACTGAGAATCAAAGGAACAAGTTGTGCTCTGTTTTGGAGTATCTTGCCAATTTCTGAGGCAGGGCAGCTGTAGTTCTATACTCTGATCCACCACTAGATGTCAGTAGCTGATTATTTTCCAACTTTTAAAATGAAAAAAATATTTTCTTATAATTTCAATATTCTTTCAAATGGAAAATCTTAACAATTTCCATAGTTTTCAGTTTTATCCAGATTATAGCTTTACATTAATCCATTTCAATGTATTTCTGTCCCCCATAAAAATTAAATCGCTGCTTACATCTATGGAAGGGTGGGGTTATAATCCCCTTCCTTTTCACTTTTGGAGGATTTTTTTTGCTTCTTGGGGATCTTTTCCAGGAAATCAGTTTCCAAATAGAGAAGATTGATATTCTCAGCTATTCAGATATTCACAGTTGTTCTTAGTTGGTGCTTTTGGACTTCAGATGCCGGTAGCTTGGGCTAGTTACTGGAATGCAGCTAGCCTTTCTCCTGTCGAGTTGAAGGGCTTCCCCCAGATCAAACGGATTGACCTCTGTCTTTCCATGATCAATAGGGGAGCCTTCCTTCGTCACCTCTCCGGGCTGACTTTTGACCCATTTATTTGTCCCCAGGCAGGGCAAAACTGGCCCGGGGTGCGGAGCCCTGCAATCCCTTGGGAGAAGTCCAGGACATACAATTCTAAAGACCTTACGATGTCATTGAAGTTTTCACTATGTCGCCTTTAGCAAAACAAATATAGGTATGGGTATATACCTTTCTTTCCTGATGGAATTCAAGATGGCATGCAAAAAGCTTCCAATTAAACTACATCTGACCAGTTTAGGAACAGCCAAATTTATTACTATATCAGCTTTTGGATCATGATAATATTAAACTGCTTGTATCCATAAGTCATGTGAGTTGGGAGATGCCAAGAGATTTGTTTTCAATTAAAGCTCTTCTTAATTCTTTGTTTTATAGCAATACTATGAAGTGCCTATTGCCATGAAGTCTGTGTTTGATCTGATAGATACTTTCCAGTCGCGTATCAAAGAAATGGAAAAGCAGAAACGGGAAGGCATTGTTTGCAAAGAAAATAAGAAACAATCTCTGGAAAACTTTTTGTCCAGGTATTTCCTAAAGCTACCTCACAGATCTTATTTTCTTTTAATAATATAAAATGAGGAAGATGTTAGAATGCAATTGCCATCAGCTGATGAGTTTGAGTTTTTTTTTTTTAAAAAAAGCCTATATATTCAGAAATAAATACCTAATAAGAACATTACTTAAGCTTATTTCCTTCCAGCCCCAGTGAGTCATTTTGTGAATGAAAGCGAATATAGGATAATGTTGCAGGATCCAATCTGAGTCAGTCACCTGGACCAAAGATTTATTCTTCCAAGGTTTTGGACTCATGCTGGAGCGCATCCTCAGGGATCTTCTCACTTTCCAGAATGAGTCAGATTTTTGGAAATAAAAGTCTTCACCCTAAATGTGTTGACATAAGGTATAGAACAAGACTGGACAGACTTCAAGCTTGTATGATGTATTTTGTTTGTTAGAAGAATTACGAAAGTCCTACAAAAACTGAGCAATGCAGAATAAAATATCAGGAGGATGAACCTAAGGAGTAAATTTTGGGGTGCTTCAACGGGGATTTGTAGCAATGATCACTGATTTCAAATTGTTGGGTACAAACAGCTGATTAAAAATCTTGTCATCTTTTTAATATGTCTTATGTGCATTGCTTGTACATAAACAGCAGCAGGGCTTCAATTGTCCAATCTTGCTAGCCTTTTTGATGCCAGCCAGTGACTATAGCTATCAACCCAGGTATCTGAGAACAAGTACAACTGTATTCCCAGCAGAACTAATTAACTGAAGAAAGTGTTTTGGACTTTTGATAAATAAGACTTTGCTCATATTTCCAAACTACCTTTTTATCCATAATCGTCCAGTTCCTGCCAATTTTCATGTAGTCTTTTAGTTTTTTCCAGGGGAATGAAGAGTCTGGCTATAAATTAATAAAACAGAGCTGCAACAAATAGGAGAGTTTCTTAACAACATATCAAGGCCAGCTGAACCAAAAGTGTAGATTATTTTCCCTTCCCTTAAATAGACTCTGCTTCATCCTGTACTAGATAGGAGTGGATAAACTATAGTTTCCAGATGTCTGGTGAGATTCTCAGCCATCCAGGTCTCAAAGGTGTTTTGTTTCTTCAAAAGGTAACTGGACTTGTTTTTTCCTTGAGGACAAAGAAGAAAACATTTAGCTTCTTATCTAAGAAGCTTCATCAGTTCGTCACCCCACATCATCGGGTGGGGTGATGAGGCTTCTTGGATGAGAAGAGAAACATCTTTTTCTTCAAGGAAGAAACAGTCCAGTTGCCTTTTGAAAAAAAAAAAAAGGACTTTTGAGACTGTAGTTTCCAGCTGTTGCTGAATAACCTCCAGTCTCCCTCAACATTGACCATTGTGGCTAAGGCTACAGATGTTGAATTAATATCTGGAGCGCTATTGATTGCTTTACAATGTCTGTCATACATAGGCAGAAGCTACACAGAAAGTTGTAATGACTAACTGATGAATTCTACTCAGTAACGTCGGGATTTTTTTTTAATATGTCCTCTTTTTCATTCCAGATTCCGTTGGAGAAGGAGACTGTTGGTAATATCCACTCCCAATGAAGAAGACTGGGCCTATTCGCAGCAGCTTGCAGCCCTGAATGGGCAAGCATGCAATTTTGGTAAGTAATAATTTTGGTAAATAATAAGAACCAATTTGATCTAGTAGTTAAGGCACCGGGCTAGAAACCAGGAGACTGTGAGTTCTAGTCCTGCCTTAGACGTGAAAGCCGGATGGGTGACTTTGAGCCAATCATTATTTCTCAGCCCAACTCATCTTAAAGGGTTGTTACTGTGGGGAAAATATTAGTAGGAAGGACTATTAATAAAAATAAATAAAGGTGGGATAATAATTGCCTCCTTTCTTTCTTTTTTTGTGGCTTTACATCTATACCTGTTAAAAATAATTCCATTACAGTGAGGTTTCTTAAACTTCTGAATCATTTTAAGAATCTTCCAAATGGAGGGATCATAGTGCAATCAGTCAAAAGGCCATGTGGTCAATTTCATATTTTCTTCCTTTTTTGAAATAAGGCAATTGATAAATTACAAGCCTCCTTTTTCTTAGGTCTTAGTGAACAATCATGATCAAATGATGGTTTCTTAAACGGCAATCCTGTCCTGGAACATAAAAGAATTGATTATTGAATAGGCATCTATAGGATTGCACTGTAAATGTTTAATATTAGATTCTTACAAAACAAACATCTCCAAAATTAATCTTAGTGTCTGAATTATGAAGAGAAAAAAAATGACTGATCATGAATATAGATTTTCCTACTATCCTTTCTCACCAAGGTTTAGTCAAATTATGGTATTCTTGTAAACTACTAAAATAGTACAATGGACTAGCTTCCCTTTGTATTTTTTGATAGTGATTTGAGCAATCCTGATACAGAGTTTCAAAAAAAAAAATAACATATCAATGTGAATTGTACTTGCGGTATCTAGCTCTATTAGATTCCATGATTGGGGAACTGCCTGAAGTAATTCTAGATATATTCAGTGGGCTACACACATGGGAAGTATAAAAATTATGATTATATAACTGAAGTAAAAATATTTTGCAAAATGTTGCATTTAATTCTATAATTAAATAGAATTTAAACTGACAGCAAACAGCACTCCTTACTAACATTATGTTACCTAGTTAGGGTAATGAAATGTCTGTAAGAAAACAAGCAAGCTCAGAGAGCACCAAGGACCCCCTCAATTCTATAATTGTTGTATATTTTGCTTTATCAAAATTATTGCCATCAAGATGTTATTCAGTAATTGATACCTTTCTTCTATAGGTCTGCGGCATATAATTATCCTTAAGTTATTAGGCCTGGGAGAGGAGATTGGTGGAGTCCTAGAACTATATCCAATCAATGGTAAGAAATCCTTTTCAGATTTTGACCGTCCTAAATTTCCAAACACAAACATATTATTCTTTATACTGAACCATTATTTATTTTGTTTATATTTAGAAATAGTGAATTATTCTTGAGACTAGGCAGTACAATGTTATTAGTAACCTCATATAAGTACATAGTAGTGTCATCCTTCTCTAACTCTTTGACATGTGATGTGCTGGAGCCCCAATTGGAGGCCAGTGTTATTGCTGTTTTACGGTTTTTTTCTATTACTTTTTGTAGATACATGTATTATTGTTTTATATAGTTTTCATTAGATTTTGTTGGATTTTTGTTTGTTTCCAAATCAAAACAGCAGGTAGTACTTCACTAAACACATTTTGGAAAGCAGATTTAATTTCTTCCATACGCATCAAATCAACTTCTATCATGTCTTATTACTATAGCTATTATTGTGAACTCTGGAACTTTTCATAGTCCTATACCACATGCTCTTTAAATACTGTCAGCATCACCACTTCTACATGAGAACCACAGACAATCTTGCAGATCCATATGTTATGCTCCATTTCCCAAAGGGATATGGCTCCTGCCCACAAGAGGACAACCCAGAGAGTATTATATTCTCTGAGTATACAGGCCAGAAGACAACAAGATGCTGTTCCAGTCATAACGTCATGCTCTGCCTATGAAAATAAAGAGTTAAATGAATCTGAGTAACATGCTGTGCAGGGTGGTCATAACAATCAGAATTAACTTTTCATCTTTCTCTACCATTGCTCTAGGCATCTTTTCTGATGTTCAGCATTTTGGTAAATATGCTTTAAATTTAAGTTTATTCAACAGAGAGATGCTACTGAAACAATCATATCGACTGCTTAGGTCACTTCCTATTGCCAGAGCTACACTGGGCATTTAACTGCCCACAAGATTGCTGGGAAAACCCTGTTGAAATCATTTGAATCTGTAGTTTGCTAATTTTGTTCTTCAGAGAGTATGTATTTGTGCATCCAGGAATAAGTTCTCAAACCTTTTAAATTACAAAGGATATTAGTAAGAAAAATATATAGTATTAGGAAAATTTGCATTTAAAAAACCTATGGCATTATTGTTTTATACTAAATTTACTTATCAATAGGGATTCTGTAGGAATTAGACACACTAAAGAGAAATTTCTCCCATTGCACTGGACTTGCTACTGGAAAAATGTCTTAATGGAGTTTCAAAACACAAAAAAGGAGGGATTTTTCTCTTAGATGATATGATAATCAAAGATTCTTTCTAGCATCAAAAAGCATTTCTACTACAACTAATTTAATTCCAAGTCAATTTCAGCAATAGCAGTTATCTTAAATAGTAAAAATATATTCAATTAAAAATGCTATGCTTTCAAGACCAACTTATCTGCTGATCTGAAAATGTTAACATTTCCCCCTAATTCTGATCTTTTTTAGGGAGCTCCAGTGTGGATAGAGAAGATGTCCCCATTCATTTGGTGAAAGACATTCGCAATTATTTCCAGATCAGTCCTGAATATTTTTCCATGCTTTTGGTTGGCAAAGATGGGAATGTCAAATCTTGGTATCCTTCCCCAATGTGGTCCATGGTGATTGTATATGATTTAATTGACTCTATGCAACTTCGACGACAGGAGATGGCCATTCAGCAGTCACTTGGCATGCGATGCCCAGAAGATGAATATGCTGAGTATGGCTATCATGGTTATCATCAAGGTTATCAGGAAGGTTACCAAGATGATTATCATCATCATGGAAGTTACCACCATGGATACCCCTACAGAAAGTAGCAATTTAGCCTTCGACTGCTTGCATTCTACTAGTCATTCAAGTCACAAAAGGCCACATGCGGAAATTGCTTTATGATTGCGTGAACATTTTCTATTGCCTTAGTGTTCAGTCAAGGGAGTGAATAAAATTTGGCCTTCTCTGTAACACGCATTTTCATGAACTGAAAGTGGTGAAATTAATTTCACTGATGCCTTATGAAATAAAGACTCCTTTATATTTTAGAGCTCTTCTAACTTGAGGTATTTCCTTGTGTTGTGTGTATATAGAATAAGAAACTCTTTCCTAATGATGATTATTGTATGGCGGATAGGATATAACATATACAATGGACTTCAGTTTTTGTCGAACTGCATCCCCACTCCCCCAGGAAATATATATTTGAAAGCTGTGAAGCTTTATTGAAGAGGAAGAATAGTGAATTGTGTTGCAGAATACAATCTTCACACTGCAGTTTTTTAGGAGGGTTTATGACAGTTGTTACAGAAAATGATTTCTAGAGGCGTTTTAAAAATGCTTTGACTAAAATAACTTTGTTCATAATATGCAATCTCTATATGATTCTGTCAATTACCAATCTGAAGAGTTTCTAGAACTAACAATTTAAGAATAGTCTGATTCTGAGTGAAAATACAAGAGAACAAAGATTTCAGCTTTAGCAATAGCAGCAGCACTTAAGACTTATATACCGCTTTATAGTGCTTTTCCAGCACTCTCTAAGCGCTTTACAAAAACAGCATATTGCCCCCCAAAATCTGGGTCCTCATTTTATCAACCTCAGAAGGATGGAAGGCTTGAGTTCAACCCTGAGCCCATCAGGATCAAACTATTTCAGCTTTTTAGCCAGCAATATATTACGCAAAGCCACAGGGCAGAACCTTAATGCAATAACCCCTCTTTATTTTATCTAACATTTTTGGTCCAGTCACTCAGCCCAACCCATCTCATGGGGTTGTTCTTGTATGGAAAATAGGAGGAGGAAGTTGTGTTAGATATGTTTGCCGCCTTGAGTTATTTGTAAAAATAATAAAGGCGTGATAGAAATATCTATACTTTGTATGTATCAATTCAAACTGCAGATGGAAACAAGTATAACATTCCTCTATACAGGTACAATATACTCTTCTTAATTAGATAAAAATCTTAGCATGTCAGAAAAACCTTAATATGTCATAGCAATTGCTGCAACTTACATGAGGCCTAAAAGCCAGCAGTAAAACAACAATACTGTCCCAATTCCTATGCAGAAAAGAAAAAAAGGAAATAATTTCTCTGGTTTTGGAATTCAAGAGATTCTCAATCTATAGTGTCCTATACTTGAATCCAATTAGTTTTTCCATCCTCCAATACCAAAGGGAGGAAACCTCAAAAGCAGCTTCACACACATCACCTCTACCATTACCAAACCAATCTGAATGGATCACAAGAGAACATTTGTGTAAATTGCCAAAGAAGGCATAGTGAGCTAAACCTAAATAGTGAGATGGGTTTTAATTGATGTTCATGTGCAATTTGTAAGACAGGATGTAGTCCATATGTCATCTCAAAATTTCACTAAACTTGATTAAAGTTAACTTGCAAAACATGCTAGGGAGATTTATCAAATGTTTTGTGAGAGGATTTTTTCCAGAAATGTGTTTTATATCTTTAAGTGCAATGTAATCTAAAATGACTGATTTCACAACTTCCTGAAAACATCATGTTAGGAATAACTGTAATGTTAAAATAAGTAAGACCAAACCAATCAAAAAACACAACTGAAAACAATGTTGTTCAACATTAGCTTTAAATTTGACGGTATTGGTTTTTATTTATTTTTGTTTTGTTATTAGATATTTGAAAAAAAGCTACATACCACTAATGAAAAAACTTTCAGAATTTTCTTTTAAGAAATTTCTTGTTAAATTCCACATAAGCCAAACAAAGCATATTTCTTTCTCAAACACAGACAAAACACATATTTAGTGGACAAATATATGTTCCCGAAATGAGTCTGCCAGGCCACATGAATGCAAAAGGACAATCCTTTGAAGAAGACTTGCTAACAGATGGATATTTAACCTTTTCCAGTATAGGAAAATTATTAAAGTACTCCATATCCAACCCAAAGCCACGTAGGCCCTTGCAAAAACAAAACAAAAAAACTTTTATATATATTAGGTCAGGAATGCTTAATCAGCTACTTCTAAGTATCAAAGGTCTTGAACATACCTAGTTTGGCCAACAATTTCATGTACCTTAAAAGACTCTTAATTTGTTCATTACTGAAAGCATAATTATATGTGTGATATTACCAGCTTTTAAAAATATGTATTTGAATATTGGTTTCCTAACTGCTCTGAAAAGTCCATATTGGTCACTAAAATATTAATTTTTATGTTTCTAATTCTATTGGTATGCATACAACCAACACCCATTTACCTACAGTATTTTCCGGCGTATAAGGCGACTCGGCGTATAATACGACCCCCGACTTCAGCGCCGATTTCCATGCCTAGAAAGTCGTCTTATACGCCGGAAACTACCGTAATTTCTGGCGTATAAGACGACTCGGCGTATAAGACGACCCCCAACTTCAGCGCCGATTTCCATGCTTTAGAAAGTCAGATTATACGCCAGAAAATACGGTAATTTTTTCTGTTCTGGAAAACAATTGAAACTCAGCTCCCCCTCCCAAATTTTAATTTATTCCAGGCACAAGTTAGGCAAAGTTCATCTTGCAACTGTATTTAAACAACTGCTGTTAAAGAACATGCATTCTGTTATGTTAGAACTACTTCTTCAGAAACTATCAAGGCTTCCAAAAAATAAAAACACAATGGATACTTGCGTCAACGAAGATGGTAAAAGAAATCCTTACTTCAAACAGTATTTCTGAATAAATGCTACAAACATGAAATAAAGCAGGGTCAAAAGGATGCTTCATTATACCAGGTACCAGTGTAGTAGCAACATTACAGAAAAATATAAATTAACTTATATAAGCAAATAAGAGAACCACCTTCTATCAACACAATAACCCTGATTGGAATATTTGCCTAGCATTTTCATACATTCCTCTTCCAATAATTTTGCAATATTAACTCTTGCCCCTGCAGGCATCTTTACAAATGAATCTTAAACTTGAAGTATAAAACTGAACTGAAACTTCACATCATAATTTAAGCATTATTTTACACAATATAATTTAGAAATTTCTATGTCACAGTTGCTAAATGTCTTGAATCATACTATTTTCTTTATACATTTCCATTCCAAAACTGAATCACCAATGCTAGAAAAACATACACTTCTTTATCATATCCACAGAAAAATTTGCATGCATTGTTACAGCTTTAAATATATGTCAGCACAAACTCTATGTTGCACTGCATTTTATGCCTGTATTTATTTTGTCTTTTATGGAATTTAACACAAACATTAATGTGTACAAAAGACTGAACCAAGACAACCCAAGGATTGGGAAGCACTCTAATTTGCTGGTTCCAAGCTGAAAGCTAAGGAAATATTCATAGAGTAGGTAACATTTCTTTAAGGGATTAACATTCCTTAAAGTACATAACCTAGATATGAAAGATGGCCTATATTTAAAATTTCTATTAAAGATTAGAAATACTGGATTACAAATTTTCCTGAAATGAAAGATGGCCTATATTTAAAATTTCTATTAAAGATTAGAAATACTGGATTATAAATTTTCCTGACTGACATGCCTTAAAAGATTCTTCTCCAAACACTTGACCTCCAAATATTATTGGATTGCAATTCACCATCAAGGATAGTCGCTGGATAAATTAGTCAGAAAAGATGGAATATCTATATAGCACCAACCTGACATAGTTGCACATTAATTATTCACCAGGAAAGTAACAATTCACTTGAAACGCATAGCTTGTGAACATGATCATATGGCATGTAAAAGGTTAAGTGCAGCGTTATCCAGTATTACATGGTTTACACTAGGCGTAGAAACCTTTATCACTCAACCCCAGATGTTAAGAGTGCAATTCCCTTCATCCCTTTAGCTCACGTGTGTCAAACTTGCCACATCATACGACGCCTCACAAAGTATTGCTGGAGGTGGGGTGGGCATGGCCTCCATATGATGCAACTGGTCCACGGGTCAGCAGTTTGACACCCCTGCTTTAGCTACACCAGCTAAGAATGAACAAATATTTGGAATACCATAACTTTCTGGATCCTGTTTTGCTTTATCCTGAAAGGATGATCCTGTTGGTATATTTTGAAAGAAGTAACCTTAAATTTTATGCTTAAATACATAATTCATCTATTTTCATGAACTAAAAATAGTACCCAAATTGTATGGAAATATGCAAAATGGCTCAAACACATGCAGATTTTAACACTGAGTATCACAGGGGTAGTCATATAAAAATAAATGATTTATATGATACTCGAGGCATACAACACATGATGGCAACAATATTTTCCAAAACTTAAAGAATAAAGCACATCTTACACATAAGAAAATGTTACCATGTAATCTCTGTATTTGTGGTATGCAATAATATTTTGAGGACTGTGCTTCTGAATTTCCATAAAGTGATAGCTTTCATAATTCCATCAATAAATTCTTCTTTCACATCATCTTTAAACTGAGATATCTTGGTCAGCATTAGCACTCCAGTCTCTTTATTTTAACCAACTGTCTCAAAATACATGGTTCAAAATGATGCTTTCCTTCTGCATCCAAATCTTCTGCATTCCAATGACTCTTGCTGCAAAAATAAATCTTCATTTTAGAAGATCAAATACACAGAAACATGAGCAGTTCTGCTGGATCACATAAAAACTCAATTTACTCCAGTATCGTATTTTCAACAATGACCAACTAGTTGCCTATGGGAAGTCTACTAGAAGAAAAGGACAGTGATTGCCCCTCAATAATTCCCATCAATTAATATATTGATAGCATTCCAGTAAATGTGCTTTATGACCCATTATGTGAATAGTAATTTGTAAATAGGCAAACTCTCCTGCCATTTGGCAAAAATATCTAGATCTCCTCAAAATTCTAATCGCATTTAATACTCAAAGGCGTATGGTTTTGAACACCATTAGTAGTGCATAGTTATGAGGACTAGGAGAAATTACAACCTTCACTGATTTTTCTAATCCCACCTTAATATCCTGTTTGGTTAGTAGTTAAAATATCATCTAGCAGAACTTGACTTTAAAAAAAAATATCCCACCTTAGTGAAAACATTTAAGAGATTTCCACCACTTCCACTGTGAAAAAGTTTCCTCTCCTCACATGCTATGCTGGGAAAGAGCCTTCCAACTAGAGTTGGAACAGAAATATGCCTGATTATGTTACTCATAGGAGATATTTTGTGAATTTGCAAAGCCCTCCTCCCATTATCTACTTGGCATGAATGTCCAGGCAATCTCCCCCAAATTTTAGTTGTGACCACCATTTGCTATAAGGCCTCCTCATCTGAATCATGATCACTGCCTGGTTTGGTGAGTCTCTCAAGTTCTTCTCCATCCTACAGAAAATAAAGGGAAGATAGTGAAAAATTAATAAACAAGTTCATAAAATGAATAGATTATGTCATTTGTCTAATGTTTACCATAATTTGAAGTACAGCTACTTTTGGTATTGGCCATATAGTAATTGCGGTAGTAGAACTTCACTAGTCCTTGTTCTATAATAGTGTTTCTTTCATTGAAACTGGATTACAATTTAAGTTACCTTTTTAATTATATCACAGAGGTACAACAAGCGGAAGATAACAATCCCAAAGTGGACAGAGCCAGGATCCTAACTAGGAGAGTTCTTAAGTATGAAATGGATGCTTTCTCCCTCCAAATTACCCCTAGATAGTTCTGTCAATTCTAGTATAGGATCTGCGGCTTTCAAAAAAGTTGTTGGTAAGCCATACAAGACCCATGGGCTGCAATTTTTACAGTATATCCTTGTCATACAACCATGCCATAACTAATAAATACAATTTAGTGGACACTGAGGCCAGATCCTACAATATACACCATCTACACAATATTAAATCCTTCCTAATCAGTCACTTTGAGATGCATTGTCAAGACTGCCTATTCCTCTTTCATAACAATTGTTATATATTTTATATGCCACGCAAAATATTTGCCCATGTAGAAAGAGTAGGAATTTGACCTTGTCAAATGTTTGTCAAATACATTTATTAAATCTGTATTACATAATTTTTGCAATGGCACCTGGCAAAACTTGGATAAAAGGGAAACTAAATAAGTCCAATTCTGTATCTTTTCAAGAGAAACCCCAAAAAAGTTAGTAAAAAGTGGTTGCTTTTTTTTTTTAGGCTTAATGTAGTTACAAATTCACATGAAAATTATAAGTAGTTACTTTCACAGATACATACACATTAATATATTACCTTTTGCATACAATCTACATATTTATTCAAATGATGCCTGAAGCATACCCAGGAACACATTGTAAGTGCACCTCGTTTGTCAATTGTGCCCTCTGGTGTTCAATCTTTAAAAAAAAATCACTTTAATTCAATAGAAAGCTAAGCAAATAGCCACAAATGTATTTTTTAAAAAGAATTTTATACATTCAAAGCTATTCTAAAAATACACTTTAATGTTCATATGGAATGTATCTGAAAAATACAAACTATTCTTTTACGATGTCCCAAAAAACCACACTATACTACTGTAAACTTCTTGGGACACTAGGATTCTGAGTTGAAAACCTGAAACAAAATGGAATGTCTCAAAATGCTCTGATGTATTTATGATGTCAAATATTTCTGGAATCTAGAGAGCTGCACATCCCAAATATAGTGTGATGTGATTAGGGAACACAAATATATTTCGGAAATGCAAAGGAAAAAAATGGTTCATAGTGGGATACCACAGTAAGATTAAGCAGCTTCCAGCATGGGCACAACTACCATTCTAGTTAAGCAGCTTCCAGCATGGGCACAACTACCATTCTAGTTTTCTGAATGAACCACATCCTTTATTACAAAGAGCAATAGCTCTTGTGGGTCTGCACACAGAAGTACTTCTCTGCTGTCCTCCCCCTCCCACAACAGCAGCATTTTCTACTACATTCTGAGAGCGCTGGAATGGCTTCACCAGGACTGCCCAACAGCATGTTTCAACATGGCATGACTTTCCTTTATAGTTTGTTGTTAAGTGTGTCCAGTTATATGTATAGATTTCTCCAACATCTATTCAGGGCCATAACTAACTTAACTGGATGCATTCATAACAAATTGTAAATGTTAGTATATCATTTGGACACACTCGGTTAAGCAAACAATTATAAGGAAAACAGAAGCGCACATTTATAGGTAATCCTCACTTAATCACTACAGATGGGTCCAGCTAGTCCATCGCTAAGTGACACAGTTATTAAGTGAAATATCACATGACCACAGCCAATTTACATCAGCTCCACTGCAGTCATTGAATGAATCACCTGCGGTCATTAAGTGTGATGTCATGTAAACTCAACTTGAGAGTTATTGCCAGCTTCTTCATTGGCTTTGCTTGTTGAAAGCCAGCTGTGAAGGTCGCAAACGGCAATTGTGTGACTACAGGACTCTGCAACCACTGTAAAAGTGCCCCAGTTGTCAAATGCTAGAATCATGTTTATATGAGGGTTGGGGCGCTGCGACCATCGTAAGTTCAAAAATAGTCAAACTATTTTTTTCAGCATTGTTATAAGTTTGAGCGGTCACTCGACAGGCAGTCATAACCAAGGACTCCCTTCTAGCAGCATAATGCTATTTTGACAATGATGGCAAACATTTATATTCACATCACAATCAGAGGTGTGCACTGAAATCAGTTGGCCCAAAGAATATCTAGAAAGGTAACCTTTCAAACCTTACCCCACTAGAGCGCTGCCATGCACCTCCATTATGTTTGCCCCTCTCCCACTGCACAGTGTATTCTGTGCAACGAGGGCTGCTGGAGTGATAGATAAATATAGACAAAAGAACTACAGGTGCTTCCAAGAAGAACTCCATGGAAGGCTTAAAGTCAAATACAAAAACTGACACTGTGGTGATGATCACAGTTGTAACTTGTGCAGTCAAAACATGAAACATGTTGTCTCGGAACTTCAGAATGAAGGCCACGGAGAGCCCAAGGAAGGCAGTGACAAAAATAAGGGCCACTGAGAATACGTTGTGACCATAGAAAAAACCACAATACTCTATCTGGCGCCTGTTTTCAGGGCGCAGGCTTAGCATCAGTGCATTGAACATAGCTCCAAAGAGGTACAGTTTGGTATTCTGCACGAAGATGTTTTCACTGAATTGGCCTCCTTCTTTCAGTATTTTTTCATTGTAGATGTTGGCTAAGGCTGAAATAAAACATTGTACTAATATGAGCAGATGTCCCAGTCCAAGACGAACTGTTTTCATGGGACCTGCAGTAGTTGTGACATTCCAGCTAAAGCCAGGAAAGGACCATCTAAGAGTGCAGTTCTCTTTTCCCCAACATTCTTCTTCTGACTTGGTATACTGCAGGCAACTGTTTGAATGGCTGAGAAAAATGTCATGATGAAATCCATGCACAGCCAAGCTATGCTTATTGCTTCCTGTCCCTGCAGTCAGAGCTACAATAGATAGGAACAGAATCAGCAAAGAAGCCCATTGCACCCAGGAGACCTGCCGCCTGCATGGAGAAGAAAAAATAAAGTAAGTTGATTCAAAGAAGCACAAATAATAGGTAAGGGGTGTAAAAAAAAGTTAACTACTTTAGTAAGGCAGCAGTGTGACTTCTGTTCTAGTATCATACCAGGAAAAGTTCTTTGGACAATAATGCTGAAATTCAAATGCTTACAATACCTCTCATACCTAACAGGATGATTCACTTTGCACACTGAATTGTTTTGCATCTGCTGAAGCTGTGCCAATGTTCCAGACAACTCTGGACAGCTGCTGTTCTTCTAACAATATCCTACACTATGAAAGTAAATATTAGTAGATTATGTCTGACTTTGAAAACAACCATTGGGGGGAGCAAGTACAAGTATGACCCAGTTTGATAAGATTAACATATATTTAGGACTGCCTTCTGAGTCATTAACACACAAAAAAAACATAGAAAGTATACCAAATTCAATAGCTATGTATTCATTAACAAAAAATGACAATAGTAGTAATATTATAATCATTTTGGATGTGCTTTTAATTTTCATTACCTTTAGAGCCTTATTTAAAATTGCTTCAGAAGAGAACTTTGAGGAAACAAAGAAATGATAAAAGATAACATGTTTCCATAATTACTCACTTCAGCACTATTCTGAACAGAAGAGCTGTTGTTATAATAACAAAATTTGAGAACAGAACAGCCATGGCCTAGAAGAAGAAAAGATATTATGTTACAAATCAAATGCAGCCTAGAAATAGGATACCTATTAGAGTACAACCACCTTAAAATGTGCTGGTTGTGGAACCAAATTTTATTGAGCTAAATAGCACTTGTTAAAAAAATGAACTGGCTTTCTAGAAAAGTCCTGAAAGCAACCATTCCTACATTTCACAGAATCAAGCAGAAAAACAAAGCCTTAACACTTATTCCCCAAATTATTGATTCCGATTTGAGTAGAAACAGAAAGTCAGAAGAATGTGAGAAATAGTTTCCCATCCTTTGAACCTACTGGTTAATCAAAATGAGCAGTGACTTCTCTCAAATCTGCTCTAGGGCAAATGTGATGGGGGGAATATATGGAAAGAACCAGAGAAGATCAAAGGGTTGTTCTATTTTGCAAATGGAAATCAGCCTGTGTCATACTGAAAGTAGCCAGCATTCATTCCATCTTAATAAATTGTAAAACTATACCCAAGCCTATTTTTTTTCAACACTGTTCTTATCTGTATAAGTAAAACTGTCTTCAGATTTTTGACACTATTATGAAAATATATACCTCCCTCCCTCCCTCCCTCCCTCCCAAATTCCTCCTAAGCATGAAAAATGCAAAATGCTTATTGGATCATTCAGTGAGTGTTCAAAGTTACAACAGTGCTGAATGAATGATATTTACAACCCAGCCCTCAAAGTTCCAGCTGTTGCAATGCCTTTGTGGTCACATGATCAAAATTCAGATGCTTGGCAGCTTGCTTACATTTATGACTGCAGAGTGCACTTCAACTCTCCCCACCCACTTATTTCTCCCCCATTTCTGTTTTTTTTTGCCACTGTGTGCTCTGCTGCCTAATCTTGCCACTCCCCTCCCACCACCACCTGCCTTAGCTGGGCATGCCTTGTCAGCAGTGGGAGGAGCAAGACAGCAAAGGTCAGCTGGAGCTGGCAGAAGCAAGTGTTGACAGAGTGGAGGGCAGCGAAAAGGACCGAGATGGGAAGGAGATATGTAGGTGGATGGAGTTGAAGCAGAAAGGATCATAGTGAAAGGTTCATGGTAGGGCAGGAAAAGCATGAGATCCTGGCCTAACGATGGCACAGTCCTGGCCTAACAACTGCAACCAGGTCTACTGGAACTTCCATCACTAAACAATGCAGTCATGTGATGGTTCATCTAACAATCACTTCACTTAGCAATGGAAATTCCAGTCCTAATTATCATAACCCAAGGACTACCTGTTCTCATTCTAAACCAATGTTCAATGGATTCTGGTAAGCTAAGGTTTTTATACCCTGGCTCTAATTAAAAAGTTTACTTTAATTTCCTTGTCTTTACTTATAGTTATGCTTCTTACGTAAACTTATGTTCAAACAATTGAAAACACCCTTTACAATACAGATTTCTTGTCTGAAAGATTTATGAAACATAAATGACAAAACATAAGAATTGAATACAGTCATTTGACCAATTAAATTTGTGTTCTGCTTATATTATAGCACATAACAAACATAACATCTCTAAAATATCAACTCAAATACTGAAATACTATTCAAGGAGGAAGCAATCTTACCTATAATCTCTGAAAATGATTGAAATTTGATATAAGCACTTAAGATGATAAAATATATATTCTCTTTTCATTAGAACATATAGAGACCATTCTACATTTCTGAAATGATACTTACTGGTTCAAGATAGGATAATACATAGAAGACAATCAAATTATCTAAAAAATAAAGAAAAGCTGGAATTGACCACTTTATGTAGCTATACAATTGCCTCCAAGAGCTGCAGCCAAATCCACTATGGGAATGTCCTCCTAAAAAAGAAAAAGAAGTAACAAGAAAAATTATTCAATGCATTTAATTATCAATACATATCTACACTGTCCTCAGCACATATGATTATTGATTTTAAAAAGAACATATCACTAGAGACAGACTCCTTAAGACAGTGGTTCTCAACCTGTGGGTCGGGACCCCATTTGGGGTCGAACGACCATTTCATGGGAGTCGCCAAACAACGCAGTCCGCCATTTTTTCCCCCTTTTTCTTAGCTGTGCTACTCCCTTTTATTCTATTGGCTTTTGAAAGCCAATAGAATAGACTCTCTTGAATAGAGTCTAATTCTATTGGCTTTCAAAAGCCAATAGGAATTGTCCAGGCTGTCTCTGCCCTGCTGAGCCCGCCAAGAGTCCCATTCTGCAAACGGTGCTGCACCAGTTGAGTAGTCCTCGACTTACAACCGGTTGAGTAGTCCTTGACTTACGACCGGTTGGGGGTCGCGGCATTAAAAAGGTTGAGAACCACTGCCTTAAGAAATCCATAATTGGAAGCTTCCTTATTAAACACAGGTATGAAACTTTACCACGCTTTATTAAAGATTTTGAATGATATTCAAATTGAAATTTTGATCTCTGATCTCTATAATTTTCTTTTTTCTCTGTAAATTAAACATATTTACATATAATTTGTTTGTTAAATCATCCTGTGTGGTAAATGGAAGGCTGTTTTAAACACTCTCTATTCCAATTACCTTTTTAAAAAATTATTTAAATTATTTTTCTTGATAATTTGAATATAATTTAATTACCTTAATATTTTATATACTTTAAAAATCAACAACTACGAATAAATACATTAAGCACCAAAATAAATTTATATTCACATACCTATACCATTGTTTTAAGCAACAATGTAATTTAGTATTTGAAATTCTATAAAGATTATCTCAACCATCTGCAGAATTTGGGATTTATATTACTTCTGATAAGTAAATTCATTAATGTGATTCTGTTATAATAAAATACAATACAATATTCAAAATATCCTTTTTAATTTCTCCAACTTAATTATTGTTCCTATTCTTCATTTCATTTTTCCAGGGATAATTCATGTTATATTTTACCCCCCCCCCTTCTATTTTTTATTGATTTCCAGCCTCCTGAAAGAAAATATCCTTCCTAGAAATTACATGTATTTTATCCTTTAAATGTAGATGGAGTTGTAATGCTGGGGTCTTTTTAATTTTTTATTTCATTACCTTGCTAAATTTATTGATAGATATCACTGAATTCCCCCAACACAATGAGCTCCTTATTATGTATCCCTCTCTTTCTCTCTCTGTTATTATAAACTTTATTATAAACCATAATAAAGTTTATTTCTCATTAATATTATGAAAAATTATAATTGCAATTTTTCTTGGAGACTTATTAGTTAAGCATTTTAGAATGCTAGACTTCTGGACCAATTCTGCCTGAAGTTCTGCCTAATTTAATGAGGATTGGTTTCTGCCAATACAATAATATGACATCATTTTTTCATATTTTTTCATCATAAATATGCAGATATTTTTTTCAAATCCTCTTTTCTGCAGTATTTTTCCATGTCAGTCAAGGAATTTTATGCCTAGGAAGCCAATACCTGAAATTTCCTTGGATTCAGGAGCAGATTTCATGAATCTAGACTCCTGAAAATGTCCAGCTTATTAATATTTTCTAGCAAGCTTTCACTTCATAAAGCTTTTCATTTCATTTACATTCATGTGTTGTTTTGTAAATCACTATAAATTTATAAAGTGTTTATAAAGAATTGCACATAATCTGGACTATATTTTAAAAAATTATTAATCACAAAAGGATTTACAGAACTAAAAAGATATACCAAATTCTGTTGGCCAATCCTTTCCTACATAATGCATTTTACAACACTGATGCCCTATGAATAATTTGCCGGAACAACAAATAGAGAAGGATACCATAGCATGTCATTTATAAAAGGTAATTACACAGATTAAAAGAAAAGAATATCATTTCACTGTATAGAAGATAGTTACTACTTTTTATATAGCCAAACCTCTGAATTTGTGCAGTTTTACAAAATATAAATCATTTTTTAAATCCTGCAAGAACTCTTTTCTATAGAAGAAGAGATAAAGACAAATATTACAATAATTATAGTTAATTGCTAAGATATTTCAGACTTTACAGATTTTTTTTTTTGAAGTTCAAGAGAAGTATTTGCCTGATTTCAATTTTCAGTACAATAACACTAACAATGGTATGGGATCTCTGTTGATGTAAAGACACATGATATGACTGAAAGACACATAATGTGACTGAAATATGACTATATAACATATAGTCCTCAGTTAACTATGGAATTTGGGACCGGACTTTCCATCATTAAATGATGGAATCATAAGCGCAACATCATGTGACTGTGACATTTAGCAACAGCACTTCCAGCTGCTCTCATTTAGCAAATCCCACCATCATTAAATGCAATTTCATATGGTTGCCATTTGCAAATTCCTGCTAACTTCCTGCTTGTCGGAAGCTAGCAGTGAAGATTGCAATATGGTAATTGTGAGCCAGTCGTCAACTGTCCAGATTGCAATCACATGACTGTGAGAACGTTGCAATGGCAGGAACATTGTCGACTGGTTGTACAAACTCATTCAATGAGGATCACCTGTACATTAACACATACTAAGCAACAAGAGAAGATATAACCATTCCTAAATATCATAATTTAGCTCTAACGGCTTACCTCTTCTGATTACCCAGAGAGCCATTATCAAACAAAGTACAAGCTTAACTAATTCTGAGCACACATTCACAGTTGCAGGAAGATAATCATACTTATTATCTGAAAAATATTTAGAGAAGTCACATGAATACTGCACACAATGACTTTAAATAAAGTAAAAATACTACAACAGGCAGCCAATGCAGAAATGTACATTCAGCAAGATGTATTTGAGAAAACCTCCACTTCTATTTCCAGATAATAATTTTTCATTAAAAAAAATTAAAATATATTTTCTTCTTTTGGAAAATAGTTGATATTTTTAATATTAAACATATTTTAATATTTCTGTTAGAAGAAACTTCCTAACAGTGAGGACACTTAACCAGTAGAACAGTTTGCCTTCAGAAGTTGTGGGTGCTTCATCACTGGAGGTTTTTAAGAAAAGACTAGATAGCCACCTGTCTTAAATGGTATAGGGTCTCCCGCTTGAGAATGGGGTTGGACTAGAAGGCTCCAAGGTTCCTTCCAGCTCTATTCTGATTGATTGGTAAATAAGGGGTTTCAGGGAGTGAAATTCAAGGTTGGGGCTTCTTTGTACTATAAATTAGTGTTCTGATCCGAACTGTGTAGTATGCCTTTTCACTTTTGACCAGATCGTTAACAGAAAGTGCTTCAGTGCTGTATTTGATGTCACAAAAAGAGTTTCTGACTATATGAAAGATGTATTCTTTTCTAAAACGGCTCTGGGAACCAAACTCATATTGAAAAGCAATTCTGAAAAGCAATCAAGACTCTACAAAACCTAATTATTTTAACTTCATGTCACAGACCAGCAAAGAGCATGCCAACAAATTCTGGTAGTATCTATACAGAAATAAATACTCCAACATACCTTCATTGGCAGAGTATTTCATCAAAAGAATACGACTTGAACCCAGTGTTACAAAGGTACCTCCTAGGAGCAGTGTATAAACAGCTGACTTGGACCATCGAGCAGACTGACTGCAACATTTGGAATCCATGCTGTTGCTATGTTGTCAGTGTCCTTTGAACCACAAAGCAAAACACTGTATCAGATATGTCCATTAAAATAACATTTATTACTTTTAGACTACTCAGAAAGCTGTTTAGTGCTTGATTCTTCACAAACTGCATAAATGCAAGTTTTGTAATGCACATTTTTCTGAGGCATTGAACATAAATTTAGTGACCTTTATGGTAAGCTTGAGTACTATTTTAGTAAACCCTTTAAAGATAGTACTAGTAACATAAAATTAATAAAAATGTTCCCTGATCTTGGAAACTAATCAAAGAGAGAAGCAACCTAGAACTAAGGAGAAATTTCATGACAGTTAGAACAATTAATCAGTGGAACAACCAGCCTTCAGAAGCTGTGAATGCTCCAACACTGGAAGTTTTTAAGAAGAGATTGGATAGCATTTGTCTGAAATGGTATAGGGTTTCCTGCCTGAGCAGGGGGTTGGACTAGATGACCTCCAAGGTCCTTTCCAACATTATATTATATTATATCATCATCATCATCATGCATCTTATATTTAACCTTCACTGAATAAAGCATTTCAACTGAAGCAACTGACCACACCACAATACTCTCCTGAACTTTATTATTAATTGTAGGTATTACCTTCCGCAATAGTGGAATAGAAATATTAGTAAAAAAAAAAAGAAAATTAAGTATTAGTTTCACCATTCATCATATTTAAATATGCTACAATAATCTCAAGGAAAAAATCTTTTTTCGGTTACATCACTTTGTTTGTTTCATTCCAAAGTAAATGATACAACTGCTCAACTATTCATTGTTTGGAGAAGCTAATTTTTCTATCAGGATTTTGAGATGAAGCTCAGAAATCTTATTTATACCTTAAATAACTTGAATGACAATAACAGATCTTGTTCTGCTTTTGGGGAGGAGTTTATCAATGCAATAGGCAGAAGGAATAACTTCAACCAAGACAAGAGTCAGGTAAAAGAAAAGTTAAGTCCATGCCAGATCTGCAATCTAAGTAAGTGTTTTAGACAAGACCCTTTTTAGTTCTCACAAAGATAAAGGGACAGAGGGAGGGGAGACATGCATTCAGACTTGCAAAATTCTGTTGTTACAACCTCATAAAAAATACAGATAGTCCTCGACTTACAACCACAATTCAGCCCAAAAGTTTTGATGCTAAGCTAGATATTTGTTAAATGAGTTTTGCCCCATTTTATTTTATTATCTGTCTTGCCACAATTGTTAAGTGAATCACAGCAGTTGTTAAGTTAGTAACATGGATGTTATGTGAATGTGGCTTCCCCATTGACTTTGCTTGTCAGAAGGTTGCAAAAGGTGATCACATGACCCTAGGACATTGCAACTGTCATAAATATGAGTCAGTTGCCAAGCAGCTGAATTTTGATCACCTGACCATGGAGATGCTGCAATGGTTATAAGTATGAAAAATGCTCATAAGTCACTTTTTTCAGTGCTGTTGTAACTTTAAACGGTCACTAAATGAACTGGTTGTAAGTCAAGAACTACCTATAGTATTAGCATGTTTGACTTTGGTGACAACATGCATGCCTTTTTTCATTCTATAAGTTATTTTAAATGTCAGTGCAAAAAAAAGCATAAGCTTCCATTTTTGCTTCCATTTAAGCACAGGATCTCTAAGAAATGAGAATTGCAAGCCATATTGTTCAATTAATACACGTTTCACTTGCATGTGTTGCCAAGCATATAATGAAGGGAGGTCAAGCTCAAAAGGCAATTTCTCAACATCTTTATAACAACTGTTAAAAATCAACTGAAACAAAGTATTAATCTCTTCTTTAACACAGGGGTTTCCATATAATTACTTCTGCACTATTTTCAATTTTTTAATCTGATTTTGGATGAAATATAACTGCTCACTATTTAATAACCAAATAATCTAGCAGCTTTCAAAGGAGGAAATAAAGATCCCAGTTTAGTATACCTGGACCCTAAAACCTACCCAGATTTCAAAAGTATTACATGCTTGCTCTTCAAGTGAGTCCAAACAGGAAAGCAACTGTAACAGAAAATAATCCAGTGATATAAGATGAACATTTTTTAGGTTAAACAACTTTCATATCCAGTCCTAAAGTCATAGATCAGATTGGAAGCCAAAATAAAAACATAAAGATCAGCTGCAAATAATTTACAGAACATGAAAGAACAAAAATCAAAGAATGTTAGGAACAAAACAAGCCAATATTGCATTGGTTTGACATCAGAAAAATTGAAGCAGCTTTGGAAATCTGTGCACAGCTCAGATGTTTGGTGTCAAAATTTGATAAATAAAATCAAATCCTTGTAAGGAAGTCACAATTTAGCCAGAGATATTGTAGTGGCTTTAGCCTGCCATATAAATCTCTTTGTTAACTCATCTGTGTGAAACATCTAATAGGAATTAACATTGGAATTTGTTTTTTCCTTCCTTCCTTCCTTCCTTCCTTCCTTCCTTCCTTCCTTCCTTCCTTCCTTCCTTCTCCGATTTTTATCCCACCTTTATCACTCTACAAGTCAATCAAGGCACTGAAAATACGCAACACTCCTTCTACCTCCTATTAAGGAGTGTTGTGTGGCTCACGTTCAAGACCTCAGTGCTGCTGTGTGACAGGGCAAACTCCCATCATTCTCTCCAGCTTCTGCCAACCTAGCAGTTCGAAAGTGAGTAATTACTAGTAGATAGGTACCACTTTGGTGGGCACATTGAGACATGAAAGAAACCCCCAACAGCACATTGCCTGGCCATAGGTGATGTCAACAGTTAATCCTTTCAATCTGAAGCACCTCAGTGCTTCTAACATGAATGCATGCAAGCCTCTTATTTTCCTCAAAATAACAATTCTGAGAGACGGAGTGGGTTGAGAGTGACTGGCCCAATAGCATGATAGACAGACAGACAGAGTCAGACAAGCCGAGATCCAAGGGAGAGGGGCAGTTAAGAAATATGAAATATAAAATCTTGATGTAATATTCCTTTTAATAACATTAAAGCATTAAATGGAAGATCTAGCTACTTTGGTTAAGCTATGTGAAAATTCACCTTTACATTTGGAAATATTAAATTCAACATATTGTAATATACTTCAAGAAAAAATGCAAACCGAAATATTTTAATATTGGTTTAATATGTGTGAACCAAGCCTTAGCTACTATAAAACATCCTGCACCAATTCTTCGCCTTCCAGATGTACAGCTGTCTACCCCAACTGGAAGTAATAGAGGCTGAAATGTGACACCACTGGAAGCCACAACAAGGCCGGCATATGCAATGCTGTGCCAAAAAGCCCGTCTTTTTTCGACTTAGGACTCTGGAGCCCATACAACTGAGCGAGAATAAAACGATGTAGCTCCCATTTTCCTTCTTGATGGAGCGGCAATTTCTCCAAAAGAGCGGGCTTTTAAAAGTTATGCTATGTAGGAGCAGCGCTCGATCCCATCTGCCTAAGCCCTCAGCCAAAGGCTCGGTTACCTGACAGTTGCGGGTTCTCTCCCGGCATCGCCCCAGCCTTAGTCTACCTGTCACTCAGGCACGCACGCGCAGAGTTGAGAAGGAGAGCCGGCACCTGCCAACCGCCTCCTTTGTCCCATGATGCACCCGGCGGAGAAGCATGCGCAATGACTCGAATGAAACGGCATCCATAGAGCTAGGAAAATATTTCGAAAGTATTTTCGTAAATACTTTCGAAAAGTCACAAGAAGTGCCGTAGAGAGCTGTTCTGATATCCATTTAAGCATTAGCTTACAGTTTTACAAATGGACCACATGGGACAATCTAGAATTACGACTCTGGGGACGTAAGAGGCACAAGCCAAGTAAACAAAGTACAAATTTTGTAGATCTATGGATGATGCAATTCAGCCATGAACTCAACTCTCTATTTCCACGCAGGCGCAGGTTCTGCGATTGCCGCCGGGCAAAAAGAAGGGGCGGGGCGGGACTCTAGAAGGTCATGTGTCAAGGGAATTCACGTGACTCCCTGCTTCCCCCCCATTGAAAGTACTGGGCGGGGAGTGGGGGGGGGAGCGCTTGGTACCTCTCAGCTCCCGGAAGGAAAGGCTAAAGAAGGGAAGAGCGACGGCGCAGTTGAATTTGCGGGTCGGCTGTTGGTGACAGGCACTTTTTCCTCTGCCCCCCTTACAGAGCAAGGCACCATGCAGAGCGTCATCAACACGGTGAAGGGAAAGGCGCTGGAGGTGGCCGAATACCTCACACCGGTATTAAAGGTGAGGCCCCGCCTACCGAGGACAAAATGGGGAGGGGAGGAGCTACAGGCAGTGATAATTTTTCATTACCTGGTAGCCCTCTTCGACTTGGACTAATGATCCCATAATCCCTGGGCCGATTGTGGGAATTGTAGTCCGATAGACTTGGACAGCAGTAGTTTTGAAGTGTGTAAGATTTGCAAGGGGGAAAAAGGAACGGTCGTTTCACTGTTCCCCAAACTTTTTGTCTGTAACGTATGGTTCCTTTGCAGGCTGGAAAGGGTCAGAAATATAATGCGTAGGTCTGAAGAATGCTAGGTTTTGGAAATATGCTTCTTCAGTCAGTAGGGAGAGGTCTCAAACTTTTTAACTTAATGGTGAATCTGTGATCTTGATGGACGGCAGTTTTCAGAATTTAAGGCAATTAAAATTATGAAATTTAAAAACAATCTGGGAATTCTAATTTAGCCACTTTGGAGGAACATGAGTTTCCCAACTAGACTTAAGAGTCCAGGAGCCGGTGGTCTTTGGCCCAAGAGAACTAGTTCCTTCTGTCTGAGTATTTCTCTCACTCTTTCTGTCTCACACACAGAAGGGAATGAAGTGGGAGACCATTTTGCTCAATTATCCTTTGCAATAGTGGCAAGAGTCTTGTTACTTTTCCAAACTGAACAGGTGTCTAAAGATCAGTGATAAGGCACTAGTTATGTCTATGATAGTGATGGCAAACTTTTTAGAGACTGAGTGCCCAAACTGCAACCCCAAACCCACTTATGCATCTTCACAGTGCTGGGTGCGTGTGGCCCATTGGCTGGGTATGGCCAATTTGGTGGGTGTGGCCCATTGGGTGGGCACGGCTGCAGTGGTAACAGCAGACTGGGTGGGACTAAAAAGTTCAATCAATCAATTCCAACTTTGCAAGTTCTTTTTTTTTCCTGCCAGAAGTTGAAATTGACTGATTGAACCTTTTTTTTTTTTTTTTGCACATGGCGGCAGAGGCCTAAAGCGAAAAGGTTTTATAAAACCCAACTGAAGGCCTAGGACTGGGGTGACGGTGCGCGTGCCCACAGAGAGGGCTTTGAGTGCCGCCGCTGTCACCCGTGCCATAGGTTTGCCACCACTGGTCTATGAAAAAGAAAACTATGTCTGTAAAAGTGAGTCTGATAGGCAAATGTATATGCTTGCAAATTTAAAATTGCCATTTTCTGTTGAAAAATAAAGGATCTGAAAATTCTTTGGTTCAGAATTCTCTAGAGGATTGCTGGCATTGCAGGATTTTGTCACAACATACGATAGTGGAGAAAGATGCATATTTCTGGAGTGAGCATATGGCATGAATGTGTGATGAATATGTGCAATGGTTCTACTGGTTCTTGTATCTATTGGTTCTTGTATCAAACTCATTAACATATTTATGCTTTCATCTTATGTCAAATATAGACTAAAATTTAAAATGTTTTGATTCTTGTACAGCGGAGAGATAAGTGGAGAGAAAAAAAGGCTTATTAAGGTAGCAAGGTACAATATTTCAATATTTTAACAATAAAGATATAGAAAAAACAAAGTAAAGTGAAACTTAAAGGTGAAAACATTTCCAGCCAAATTCAATCTGCCTGGCATTTGTGTCTCAGGAGAAATCTTTAATGCCCCCCCCCCCATACACATTATTAGTGTGAAAAGCAGGCAGTCTTTATTTTGGTGGCTACACTCACTCTGAAACAGTTTCTTGCTGGTAGGAATGACCCCCAACATTCCTGATATTCTGAAATAGTTAAAAATGGAATTGTTTCAGTGGAGAGGGCTAAAATGTCTGAGAAAACATAATTGTATAGTGGACAGCTCTGTATTGTATTTTTTTTTTAGGATTGATCTTAACTTTTAGTGTAGGCATTTTATTGTACTGGTGTATATTGTTGTTAACTCCTATTATTCTTTTGGTTGCCTCAGGTTGCTTTTAACTTTCTCACAAACTTTATTAGGTTTTTTTCCCCCTACAAACTTTGCAGCTCTCAATAGAATTCCTGAAATATTACATTTTTATCACTTGCTCTAAAACATGATTGGGGATTTGGTGCCCTCCAGAAGTTAATGAACTAAAATTCCTGTGGTCCTGGCCTAGATGGCCAACAGTGAGAAATGTTGAAAGTCATAGTTCAGCAACAAATGATTGTCCCCAGATTTTTCTTCTTTGCTCTATCAAATGTATCTCTAGAATCTTCTACTACACTATTATAATATTTGAAAAATAAAGAAGTCTTTTGTGATGTGAAATATTCTTTTGGGTAATAGAAAATAAAAAAATAAAATACTTTCCAACAGGGTTCTTTAAAAACCAGTATTTTCTAAATATTAATTATCTTTTATTTTTGCCTATCTATGTACCCTGTCATTAAAATCAAATGTCACTTTCTTGGCATGATGCATTTTCAGAGATTCATTATGTATAGTAATACAAGAGAGCAGATATTTTTGCCTTGAAATTTCAAATATGGTGATTCTGACACTTTATGAAACGTCTAATCTCCTCTTGAACCAAAATTTCAAGAAATACAGATAGTTAGCACAAACTGTATTAAAGCCTGGAAAGTGTTTTATTTTTATTTTTTTTATCTAAAAGTAGTTTCCTCTCCTTGTGAAAAAACTTAAATTGTCATATCTATTTTTCATTAATATAAATGCTATATGAGCAATAAAAGCAGTGATTGCTTGATTCTGCCTGGGTTCTTAGGCAAAAAAGCTAATCAATTTCTATGGTGCAACTATGCTTGGATAACCTCTTGTTCTATGTATTCTATTGTAGACAAGGGTTATTGGGAAAATTTTCAAAGTGAAGACTGCTGGAAAGTTAAACTAAGGAAATATTTGACCAAATAGAATGGGTACAGGTTAAAAGCATTATCATTTTCTTTTCATTATCTTAAGGCATTTGATTTTAAATGTTTACAGACTTTTTTTCTTTAGGAATCAAAGTTTAAAGAAACTGGAGTTATCACTCCTGAGGAGGTATGTATATAATGATTTACTTATTTGTTGAAGTAAATATTGAAAAACGATAAAATGAAATTCCTATGGCAGGTTTTTTTTACTTCTTATTAAATCTGTCTAGAATCATAGCATGTTACTAAGATTTAAGGTTTACAGCTAATGTTGTAATGTAGGCCTGTTGCTGGAATAACTCCCATTGAACGTACTTGGAATTGTTTATGTTTTACATTATTTAGTGGTTTATGTGAGCCTAAATATAACCTGTGTAGATTAAGTCCAGAAAAGACAGTAGGCTAACACTATGTGTGTGTGTGTGTGTGTGTGTGTAAGTTATGTATGTATATATGTATGTATTTGTTTTCTGAGGTTTTCGCGGGTGTTTGTATGTAGGTCTATGGTTGTTCGGGTTTTCTCCCGCGTAAAATTGGAAGTGTCTTGGCGACGTTTCGACGAAGTCCCACTCGTCATCTTCAGGCTGGTGTTTTCAGCTTCGTGCTTCGAGCAGCAATGTGTGGTCTTAGCTGTTTCTTCCTTTTAACTTCATCGAAACGTTGCCAAGACACTTCCAATTTTACGCGGGAGAAAACCCGAACAACCAAAGACCTACATATGTATGTATATGTATATAAAATATATCAACATTTGCTGTTTTGTTTTGACAGTTCATAGCAGCTGGAGACCATTTAGTTCACCACTGTCCTACTTGGCAATGGTAGGTAAAATTCTGCAGAATCTGCCTCTTAAGAGCATTTAGGTATGTTGTATGAAGATGCGTGTGTTTCTTACAATAAGTTGTGAGTTAACAGAAAGGGAGAATCATCTAAATTCAAATATATTTCCTCCTTTGGTAGAATTAAATTTGACTTTTGGTTTCTTACCTGTGTAGTTACCATGTTTTTATAGGTTTATGTTATAAAAGTGATAAGACAAAAAGGCCACATAGTTACAACTGTTCTGACTCCAAATTAATAATGTTTTAGTTTCCTTTCATGCATACTCCAGATTTAGTTGTCATTTAATAACATTTTGAAAATATTGGTGTAATGTAGAAATTTGAACTAAGATTCATAACTATTAAACTACAATTATCTGTTAGTTAGACTCTAGGCTTATAGTCACTTTTCCCTCCCAAGGCAAATAGCAAACTATTTTTAAAAACTGTTTCTATGTTTATATCAACTTCAGCAAAAACATAATAATTTGCTGTTTTGTTGCTATTATTATTGTTTGTGTTTGCATTTTAAGGGGTACTGGAGAAGAATTAAAAGTCAAGGCTTACCTCCCAACAGATAAGCAGTTTTTGGTTACTAAAAATGGTATGTCTGGGTTTGTGCTTTTATATCCAGGTTTCTCATCAAATATTTCTTATAACTGCATATTAGTATATTTTGAACATGTATAGGCAG